ACTCTTTGACCTGTTTGCCTATGTAAAGCAAGCACGGAGGTTAGTCCTCCTTGCGAGTAGTTCTCGGTCCATCCATCAGTAGTCATGGCCTCCACGCACCAACGAGTTAAATTCCACTAGGCACATTTAAAAGAAGGATTTGAAAGCCTGGTGCCAGGAGTATGAGCTTCCTTTCCGCAGCTTCTCATGTAAGTTCTTTCATGTAGAACTCAGCACATAAGCCAAGTGACCTGCTTTGCTTCTAGTAAGTGGCCAAGTGCTTTTCCTTTTGACAGTGTAGTTGTAAACACCATGACACTGACCCAGGAGAGTCCAGCTAGCTTGCACTACTGAGGTTGCACAGCCTGGATTTCACTGCGTAGATTGGAGGAACGTGGAAGCCTGTTCTCAAAACCTGCTGTTCAGTTACAAACAGACCCAGGAGGATTTCTCTGAAATTTCCAAAAGGGCCTTTGGGGCACATAGGTGTTCATGGCACACTGTACAACCACAAGGTTCGAGGGTAGCCCTGCCATGCTACCACAGAACATGCTGGCTGTGCGTATGTGTAGCGAGGCCTAAACGATGCAACCACGTTATTTACAATGAACCAGTAACTTCTGTGATCTTTGTCAATAATTGTGCTCAAAATTCAAAATCCTGCTAGCTCATTTACAGCTGCAGCCGTCTCCGCGTAGGCTTCTTATTAGATGCCACTGATTTTGCAGACTGACGCAGTAATAGCAACTTCCTTTCATTCTTGACCTACACTTAGATGCAGTTTGCTTCATAATATGAAACGTATGTCCTGAGTGAGAATATTTGAGCTAGTAAGAATGACCGTGCTGCTTCAGGCTGTGACCGTTCATACCCTCATGAAACTCCCATGGAAACCAGTTAACGCTTTGGTGCTGGCAGTGCGACCATGCTTGTGATGGATGTGCTGTAGGAAATCAGATTAGGACGTGAAAGGACACGGGGTCTTGGGAAAAGGGGGATTGTTTCTATTGGCTTCTCTTAAGTGTTTATGTTCAATGACGCGTATTCAAACAGATTATCAAATTGAAGGCTAATGTTAACCTGCTGCCCTCCCCCGAAGTCGTGAAGAGTCTGAACATCCTGGAGTCAGTTTGTGAACATAAGTGCCCGGCTTTTTGTAGTATAAAAATCAGATCTTTGCTGAGACCACTGTTTGTCAAGTTTCTACCACTTGTAATCCTAATGTCAGTACTTCCAGACTGTGCCTGTAAACTTGCCATGTTTACGATGGTGAAGGTGCCAATACATGTGCCAACTGCAGTAAATTCAGTATCGGTTAAAAAAAGCACATCTTGTGCTGGAGAAGTATACGCTTTATTAAAGGTAGACTGTGGTGTAGGACCAAAATCCCGATCTGTTGTACATCGCAGGAGCTCCTTGGCATTTTGTTTTTTGAGTTGTTTGCATTAACAGACCTATTCATGTCTTGTCCAAGAGAGCAGCTCTTTGAGATCAGGCAGAACACTTGCTTTAGTTTTTAAATGGCGCACTTGATTTTTTTTTAGATTTGCAGGTCACGTGAGTGAATCCCTCTGAGAATCTGTTAGTGAGCTTTGGCAGGAAAGTGTCCTTCAAAAGTATTTAAATAATAATAATAATAATACAAAAAAAAGTTTCCCATATAAAGGTGTATATAGAAGCAATTTGTCTAGTCAGCATCCTGTGGCAAAGCTGTGTGCTGTGTTTACAATCTGATATAAATTATCTTAGTAGTTATAAAAATTCAAAACCCCTCAAGTGGTAGCTTTGTTCTGTTTAAACCTTCAAACAACCTGGTACCCAAGGTCCGGGCTTTATGCCACCCTTCTTGCAAGGAATGTCACTCCAGCTGTTTGGCAGCCCTTCTCTTGGCTTCAGCAGCTCTTGAAATAATAGGCGGCAGCAGTAGTAGGATTTACTACAAAGCCCCTTTCAAAGGGTATTGCAAATCTTGCCCCCTTCTTGCGATTCAGTGTATGCAGACAGCGTCTCATTGCTCATGCTGCACATCTGGTGTCACTCATGCTTGTTTCTGGACTGGCATGTCAGCAGGGGAGCGTCTGTCTGGAAACAATATTTAACTCCTGCTGGGAGCTGGCACAAAGCTTTGGCTTACCGCACCAGTGTGATGGCCACTCCCGAGTTCCTGGTGTATAATCCCCGTTGTTTTTTAGTTGTAAAAAGCCCTTAACGCACATCAAGTGAAGACGAAGCAATGGCCTAAATTTGCTGTTACAGAAAATTCAGGCTTTGGGTGAGCGTTTAGATGGCCTGCTTGCTCAGATGGATGCAGCTTAAGGGTTAAATGAGCACCAAGTCTCATCTTCTGCTGTGAGGACATGAAAGCCATGTTTGCAGGTTTCACTTGAAAGCATTCCCCCAACTCCTGCATTTCAAAGGAAATGTCTTGTGGGGATTGGTAACTATGCTGATGCATGCCTGTGCTTAATATAAGCTCAGGGGCACAGGTTAGTGTAGCTTCTAACTGTTCACCGGCACAGCAAGCGAGTTTAATAGAAGTAGCAAGTTTTTACAGCACTAGGGGGAATATGCATTAAACTGCCCTAAAAAGTTGACCTCCAGGTTACAGAACTGTCCTAATTCCAGATAATTTAATGTGGTTACAAAAATATACTAGGCTTCCCTCGTTATTGCTTAGCGCTAAAATAGTTACAATCATTGTACCGAGCACTTCCAGTCGGTACCAACGTAACTTTTTCCCCAGTCTCTGTTCTAACACAGAATCTATTTCTTAAGCATATTTGACATGAAACGGCCTTGGGAAAATGTAATTGGCTGGAGCCTCTCCTAATGACAGACTGCATTAGTTCAGGCAGAGCTTCCTGCCAGCATGTCTTAATGTTGGTTTGCTTTATTTTGGAGGATCTGGAGCAAGCCAGCCTCCAAGCTGGGCATGTTCCCAGGTACAGTAGGACTCTGTCACTTTTTCTAGCAGGAGTAAGAGCAGGACTGAGATTCTGGAAAGCACCAAAAGCTTCTCAATGGCATCTTGCTCATGTAGATCACCTAGAGTAACGTGTGCACCTGCCTCCATGTCTGCAGACCATTTTTTTTTGTCTTTTCTGTAACCTCATTACCATCTGCCTTCCTGAACTGCAGATGTTCAGTGTCTCATTTGGAGTAGAGAAGCAGGTTGGACCGGCTTTCATTTGAGGGGAGGGGTTGACCCTGACTTGGCAGCGCAGGGTTCGCATACCTGCTCGTCCTTGTGCGCTCCCTGTAACGTACAGGTTGGAAACGGTCAGCTGGTGTAGCCACTTGTCCCGCAGATGAGGTTCACTTCACTTCAGGGTGGAACCAAGACGGTAGTTGTGAAAACATTCCAAGAGCGCTTAGTCTTTCCTCTTCGAGGACGCTGTCACCTTCACTAGGTTTAGTGCTGTGCTTTAAAATGTTGGTGAGAATAGGTAATGGTTCATTCAAATAGTTGGTATAAATGGTTGTGTAGCAGAATGACAGATTTTGAGATAGCGTTTCCTGTAAAAGTAATTAAGCATGGGTTGATGGTGCACTTTGTATACAGTAATCTGGCGTGCATGCTGGTCAAACTACTTCCTACACTTCAGAGGCACCACAAGCCTTTTTATCCAATTGCTGGTTATGTAAAATACATGCAGAATGTTAATGCAGTGTTGTTATGGTAAATGTGTGAACAGTGTTACTAATTGATATAACTGATAACAGATTACATGTGCCTGACATTCTTATACCACACAGTATGTTTAGGTTTTGACTAATATGGAATTCAGTGGAATAGTCTTAGGTATTTCAAGCCTTTGTTTTACTTACACGATGGTGCTCTCTTTGTGTTTCTCCTTTAAAAAAAAATAGCATCTAAACACTTGTACTACATATGACATCCAAAGGAGTCCAAAACTAACCGCTTCTAAACATGCTTGACTCTTTAGTTTGTCTGTAACTCAAATCCAGCATTTCTCATCTAAAGGTTTTTATTTTCCTTTCACTTGTTGCTGATTACTTTGATGGAAAACTTCAGTCATGTTACCAATTATGAAGTGATTCTGCACTGCCTCTGGGTTGTGTATGTATTCAGAAACAGTCTTAAAGCTTTTATTTAAGCTAATTAAAAAAACCAGGGACTTGTGCCATTTGTTCTTTAACAGTGCTGTTGTATAAAGACTTCCCTGTGAAAAAAATCACTTGCTATGAACTCTGTTTATAGCTTTTTTTCCACAATGGATCTTTTCTTTGTATTTGTACAGTGGCTCAGTGGAAGATGTTGCCATGAGTTGATATTGTAACCAATAAACAAGTGCTTTTAACCAGATGGCCTGGTGTGCGCGTGCACTTATTTGAGACCCTTCTCAAAGCAGAAGCGTTGGGGGAATGGTGCATGGGGAGTAGCTGTCTGGCTGATCTAGGGGAGGAGATTTCCAGTAACCTCCCTTGTGCTTCTGGATGCCTGCTCCTTTATTATGTGGGGCGGGGGAAGAAACCTGTAAATGTTTTTCTGCCCCTTCCAACTTCACTGGAAGAGCCAGTATCTCTCGTGCTGAGCATAAAGCTGTGGTTAAGAAATCCCCTAAGAGCAGCCTGGAGGGCCACCACACTTGGCCTGAGCTGGGCTTCTGGCTCTAGCTTTAGGCAAGTCTCCCAGTCCTCTTCACTGCTGTAAGCAATGCTATTTTTGCTTGAAAGAAAGGCACGCATCTGCTACCTGCTTGCACTCTGGCAAGCCGGGGAAGGGAAAGTTAGCTCGATGCTTCCCCAGCTATGCTGCACTGCAGCTGTGTAACTTAGCAACTGCGTTCCCTTTCCTCCAGTTGCTTGGCTCTGTGTGTGCAAATTGAGACACCGCACTTGCGTTCCTGGGGAGAGGGGCAGCAGGCTGCTGCCAAAGAAGGGAACAGCTCTTCCCCTACTGCTGCAATAGAGAACTTACCTTTCAGAAAACCTTGGGACAACCAGTGCTACAGTGCCAGATGCCAACACGCACAGACATGTTCAAGTGACTAGAAACCAGCTGAGCTTTTCTTTATTGCAGATGTAAGTAAAGTAAAAGGAGGACCTTGTACAAAACCACGTCCACTCTGCCATAAAAATATTTCTGAATTTTATTCCTTATTTACAGGGCTCCAACCTTCTTTCAGCCTCAGGCTGGGTGAAGCACCTGGGGACAGCAATACTGATTGTCACACGCACAGTCAGTTCTGGTTTCCACACGTGGAGCAATCCTGAGTCCTAGGGTCTCATGCTTTGAATTTCCCCTGGTGAAACCTGTGAGCCACAGGCTCCCTAAGAAAACCTTTGCTTAATTCTTGGACTGCAGCCAGGCTGCAAATCAGCCCCAAACAAACCACCCTGTAGTAGCCACTGGTTTTGATTTTAATACAAGTGCTGTAGTGTATTGCCGACCTTTCAAACACAAGATCGCTGTATGGAGGATGGAAGCTAAAACAGCTGCCATCTGCTAGAGGCTGCCCCCTTGATGCGTTGCGTTCTCACTGACTACGCAAGTAGCTGTAAGTCACATGCATGTACAAAGTCTGCTACAGTGTCTCTAAATGCTTTGAAAAAACAACCTGAATAGATACCTGCAAAGTAAGTACACTTGCATCACTTCTGTACTACTCCTGGGCTGGGTTGTTATCCTGCTTTCACAAGAAGTTGGCCTCAGAACTGCAGCCCTTTAACCAGTCCCATCCCACACACAGAACGGTAGAGGTTTCCAAAGTAACCACTGTGTAGTGGTATCTTCCCTTATATGAAGATGAATAAAATCATACTACTGGACCACTTCTAATGCAACATGTAGCTCCATGTTAAAGCACAGAAGTTAACAAATCGATAGGAGTGAGTGGTTGGTTCCTGACCTCAAAATGAAGTATGTCGCTATCAAAAAAAACCCCAAGATACATTTCGTTAGCCCTTTGTTTGAAGGTTAGGATTGCCGATGCCAAGTACCACTGCAACAATTGGGGGAAAAAATACGAACTGGCTTCTTAAGCCATAGCAACTTTTCATTTCATTTTGGTTTTAAACCTGAATTTGTTCAATTAAAATGTAATACTTTCATAAAAAATATATAAACATCCTCACCCCCCTAAACTAAGTTATTAAAAAGCCTGTTTACAAAATACAGGTTTATCAGGTTTGAAGATGCAGCACTTGGCACTCAGTGCCACTATCTGTTAGTTGGGGGATGAGGGTTGGCTTCTGGCAGGCTAGCAAGGGTGAAATAGCCACATGCTCAACTGTTTAAACCCAGAACAGAGAGGGTGCACTGGCCACGTGTTTCCAAAGACCCAGGTTTGAAATGAACAGGCACCTCAGTGATAACAGTCTAACAGTGCTAGGCTGCTATTTTTCCCACTGCAGCTGGTATTTTTCCAGTAGACAAAGCAGTCAGGGCACAGCTACATAGTTTCCCTTGATCTTCACATCTTGTATCCATTAATCCTGGACAGAACCTGGAGAGCTACAAAGCTGCGCTGCAGCTGAGCCTGCAACTCTTCATGTCACGAAATATCTTTCCAGTCTCAGCAGTTGCTGGTTCAGAGGCCGGCAAACCAGCAGCAGGAGCCTAACTCAAAATTGCAAGCCACTTGGGCTGCTTAACTTCAAACCATTCCTAAACCCGCCTGGCAAGGCAGCCCATGTGTAGAGGTTTGCTTTCATGTTTGATCACACGGGCGATTCACACGGCTATTATAGCAGCGCTGTTCTGCCATTCAAGCAGGCCTAGGGGTGCTGGTCCAGCTTTGCCAGCCCGAGGGCACCCAGGTTACTGGAAACACTGCTCCTCCTTCAAGTAACAAATTGCATCTTTCCCTCAACCCAAAGCATCCAGGACCAAGAAGGGGAGCTATCGAGTTTGGTTCCATGGAACAAGTCCCTCAGCGGGGTGGGGGGTGGGCTACAGCCCCAAGCAAATCGATTCTGCCCTAGCTCAGCAGCTGAAGGAGCCTGTCCCTCCTGCTAAGTTCACCTTTTCCTTAGGAGGCATGTGAGTGTGGCTGTTGCTAGCCCGAAGGAGAGAGAAGGGATGGGCGCCTTCCTCCTGGATGCCAGGAAGTGGGTTTGCCCTGGGCAGGCACCATCCAGAGTGGAAGGTTTCTTTTATTGTTGAGCATCCAAAGAATAAATTACCTGTCACTAAATATAAATCATTTATCAAAATCTGCCAATTAATCAAGTGGCCACAACCCTCTCCGTGCCCCAGGGGCTCAACGCTGGTCACAGGTGAAGCCCATACCTGGTCCTTACAGTATCTGACAGGGATAATCAAGGTAACTTTATAAATAAAAGTTAATTCATGGCCTCCCTGGGGAGAAGTCTGTCAGTGCACTGTGTCGGCTGTGTCCCACGGTTTCCTGGGCCGCGCTCTATTTGCTCTGCCGAAGAAACTGCTTGGTGAAAAGCTCCAGCTCGTTGTCCAGGTGAAGGGCTTTGTTTCTGCAAAAATGGGCAGAAGAGGAAGAAGTGACTGAGGTTGTGGCAGTCAAGAACCCCTGCCCATGTCCACTGGGCTCCATGAGACACGCACTGGGATGGGCTTGCAGTGTCTTCACATGTTCAGAACTGAAATGCCAGACACCAGGCCCTAAAGCCAGTCAGCAGAGCCAGGGCCAGCCTGCAGAGACAGGGGCGGTTTACTGCAGATGTAGCTCTAGTTACGGTTGTGGCAGCGAGGGCCGAACTGGAAGCAAAGCCCAGCTTCAAAATGCTGCCAGCCCCATCCTAACCCCTTCACTCAGCCAGGGCTGTCCCTCCCTTCTTGACCCTTCAGGGCTTCAGCCAAGCAGACATCAGGTTAGGTCCTGTGAGTTCCAGGAGGGAGTGGGGAGTGCTGGGCTAGAAAGGAGCAGCTTTCTTGCTGCCTGGAGGCCAAGTCCTAGGGAAGATCCTACTTTCCTCTTAGCCTTGACAGCTCCAGCACTCCCCCTACCCACTGCTGACAGCCCGCTGGACACCAGTCAGTGAGACCTGCTAGTGCAGCATTAGTGTCAGGGGCACTCAGGCCCACAACACTGTTCCCACCTGAAGCCAGCAGCAGCATGCAGGGCCCGGGGCGCCTGCGCACCTTCACTGCTGAGATTCTGGGAGCGCGGGATGGGGGCTCCTTCTCAGCAGCGCTCACAGCCCTAGCACAGAAGTGCTGGACGCCATTCCTACGGCTTCCTCTGGGGGGGCTGGAAGGGGCTCAGTGAGGCTCCAAGCCATGCAGACTAGTCCCTTGGGACTCCCATAAGTGGAGCTCACTGGAGACACCTGCATCCTTCGAGCAGGGCTCCCTGCACCCCTGCATGTCCCACATGAGCCCCTCCCTGCAAGCTCCAGCCCTTGCCAGGGCCTCTGTGCTCCCAGCTTAAACCCGCTCTTACTTTCCTTCCTCCTCTGGCGTGGCTTTTCTGTGCCAACGTGTTCGGCAGCCCTGGAATGAGGGAGGGCTGCTGTGCTGCAGGACTGGGCCAACTCCTCCCAGCACCCAGCCCCTCCACAAGGCTCTGGCAACCAACCCCCCCCATAGGCCCCTGGCATGCGGGAATGGAGCCAATGCAGCCCTCCAGGCATGTGACACTTGAACAGTGCCGTCAAGCCAAGCAGTAGGCCTTGCGCGCACAACTCCGGGGCTGCCAAAAATGCTCCCATTCATCTTCATGATTAGGTGACCCGAGCGTAGCAAGGATGAGCCCACAGGCAGTATGAGTGGGGAGACTAGCATAAACCCACACAGCTGCTAGCAAGGGAGCCTGCAGCATCCATCTCTGCCTAGTGGGAAAGGCTCTTAAAGAGAAAGGAGGCATGGGGGGGCCGGCAAAAGATGAGAGACCATAAAGGAGCTGAATTCCCACCTCTGCCTGGTAGCTACAACTGTTCCCCTTCCCAGGACACAACAGCTCCTCAGGCAGAGGCCCCTGGAGAAAATGCACAGCCATGGAGGCTGAAAAGCAATATTAAACGCCCCTGCCTGGCCCCAGCATAGCGAGCCAGTTGGTCTCGGGAAGGGACAGTGCTTTTCTGATCCTTTTAGGCCTCCCTGAAACATGCAGCTTTTAAACATGGCTGTAAAAATGGCACCAACAAATACAAGGCTCAAAAATGTAAAGGGCATAGAACCGCCCATTCACTTGCACCTCCACTTCTGTGGCCTTGTTGGGATTACCTGCACTTCTGTCTATCAAAGGCCAATGCAACAAATGCCTGCAATTTGTGACATCACTTAATAAGGACACAGGGTAAGAAATCTGGGTCCTCTAAAGTGAAGGGGGCCAGGACTTTACTTCTGACATGGCTGGCAGTCATTACAAACAAGCAATGTTACCTCAGCTGCTTTGAGCGACTCTGGATTTTCTCTAACTGGTTTATTTCTTTGGATAGTCTGGCGATTTCTTCCTCCAGGTTTTTCTCTGTAATGTCAACTTGCTGACACAGCCGAGCAAACGTCGTGGCCATTTCCCTAAAGGCAAACAAGTCTGTAATGGCTTTGCATCATAACACATTATTACGCTGCACGCCAGAGTCCATGTAAGCAGACAACCTGGCGCTCAGAACAGCCATCGAGGTAGACTCGCACTGGGAAAGGCAACATGCTGGGGAATGAGAGAGGAGGCCGCATTTAAAAACCAACAGATAAGGACACTTTTGCAGTGGTGGTTTTAAGGGTCACAGAATACCAATAGGACACGGATGCTAGGACTGCTTCTACCCACCTCTCAATGCCGGCACTGGCATTTTGGTGGGGTGAAGCTTTTTATCAGCAACCTAAGACTAAATCCACAAAGGGACTCAAATTCTGCAGTGCAGAACGGAGGCATCACTAGAATCCTCAGCCTCAAGTTAGAGGCCGGCCCAGGCTCTAGACTGCAAGGAGAAAGGCCTGAATACACACTATTTGTGCCTGGCATAATCCCACCGACTCCCGCCTAGCCAGAAGCCATCAACCCCCACTCCATGCATGATCACTCCTCCAGGGTGCGCGAGATTCAGAACTGCACACCGTAACAGGGAATCAAAAAGCTACACCTACTGCTATAAAGACATGAGGGGAATTCTGCAGCAGCTTTTTTTTTTTTTTTTAAACCAAAAAAAAAAACAAAACCCAAAACCTGATCTGCACACTGATCGTGTCTGGTCAGCTCCATTTTGCGACTCCCCCAGTGCAGGTGCCATGGTCACTAATACTTACTGCTGTACTTGGTGGCTGCAATTTGCACTAGTAAAAGTGATGATCTGCTGCAGCTTTTCAGTCGCATAGTTTACGAACTGCTGTTTGAAGGCTCTCTCTCTTGCTTTCGTGGTCCAGGTCAGCCTCTCATAGACATACAATAATCCATACAGGCTCATGGAAAGGGTGATGAGTTTCCAGCCTACAGTTCTCCAGACCTGGAGGGGAGAATAAAAAGCATTTTTCCTTTGACTTGAGGAAGAAATGCAAGAGCAGCTCTAGGGAAAGTGGCTTGTCAGAGCTATTTGGTCATAATCAAAAGGCTGCAGACAAATGTCCCCATTGTGTTGCTCCCTTTGTTCTTTCCAGTCAGATCAGGTTAACAAAACACATCTCTCCTCCAGCTGGCAGCGAAGCAGACTCTTCAGCTACACAGAACCGAGCCGGAGCCTCTTCTGCCTCCTGCCTGAGCAGCAAGCACATTAGCTACCTTCAGTCTGCAGTCGCTTTATTGCTCATTAGGAGGCAAGGGGCAGAATGCAAAGCTCTCATCAACTCTGAATTGAGCTTGATAATGATGTCAGGCCACATATTCACTGAGAAACTGAGCATTTTTATACAGAACCCAACATAACACAAGGAGTCATTTTTCTTACTAGAAGCTCACTACTTGCACTCAGTGCGTCTTCCTGGTATACCCCATAGCACAGGGCTATTCAACCAGGAAACACCTTAGTGCATTTGACAAAGATGTGTGTGTCTTGGATGCTCCAGTTAGTCTGCAGCGTGGTTCTCTTGCCACTCAGGTGAGTAAGGATTAGTACCACACTGGACAGTCATACTGGTTAGAAACAGCATCTTGACATTTTCCTGAAGCCTTTGTATAATCACAGCCAGTTATCTAATGCCAACAAGCCTGAAGAATCAAACAGACCCTGAAAAACAGGCTAATCGCTTAATGTAAAATATTGATAATGAACTATTTTCAAGTCGCCAAGGAAACCCTGACCAAACTGATTCTTATGCATGCTAAAGATTAATTTCCGCATTGCAATGGGCTTATCAATGACATTAAAGGAAATTCACATCAGTTTTGCTCAGGCCAGTTTTATCAGGCAGGATGACAGTTTGGCATTTCTCAACCTAATGCTGAACAACCATCACCATTTGTGAACCAAACTGTCAGACCCCCTTCCCACTGTGGGAGGGAGTCTGAAAACCTAGTGCCTAATATGTTTTAATGTAAATAGGAAGAGAAGCCTTTGATGTTACTGAAAATGAATCGATCTTTTTATCTTTCAGTAAAATTAAGCCATAAATGAAAAACTTTTACACCACCACCAGGATAAGTAAAATGGATGGAGGTGTCCTTTAACAAAGATGATTTCAGAAAGAAAAGTCCCAATTGATATACTCTGAAATCTATTTGGTAGCTATTTAATTTCATTGGACAAAAGTACTGAAGTCCCCAGAGCTCAATGGAGCTATGCCAACCCTGTTAAAAGACTACTACTACCCAGATCTATATGCTGCATCAGAGGTGACATCTAAAACAAGAGAGAGAGTATCTGGCACAGATTAATCTCTGCCATGGTTTCTATCACAGTGAATGTTGCTAATTCTACTTGCCACTCCTCCAACAATGATGACGCTCATAGAGGTCCGTGATGTCAGTGAAGCTAAACCCGTTACCAGAGTAACCATAAGTTCCTCCTGTGACACATTCTCTGGAGTTACAGCGGGAATGCTGGCAGCGGAGGGAGTGGAAGCTAGCGGACGAGGGATCTAGAAGAGTGGAATAAGGGAATTGGAGTCATGAGCACCACAGATATTCTACGGCAGACTGCTTCGAGTTATTTGCTTTCACATAGTCAGGGTTAAAAATGGAACGGTTCGGCGGATAAACCTGCCAGTGGAGACCCACATGAAAAGCTTTTTCTTTCATCTAGAGCAGCAGCACTGGGGGTTGTGACAACTGCTGATCAAACAGGGAGTGGTCAGGTAACGAGGGCTGGGTTTTCAGTTCCAAGACAAGGCTGGAGTGAAGACTGCTTATAGTCCTGAGTTCTGAAGAGTAACTCCTCTTTTTTTTTTTTTGGCATACAGTAGAGATCATGCTTACTGATTTTCCCCTGGGCCTCCCTACACAGTCCACTCCCCAGTGCTAGATGCCTGCCCACACCTCTCCTGCAGCCCAGGGCTCTTCTGGAGTAGAGTATGTAGGTTTTTTAATCCAAACTTCATGGTGGCCCTTCTGTTTGGATGAACCAGCTTCCCAGACCTGACCACCCTAAAAAGGGACAGAGGTCAGGTTCTGTAGTTTGCAGCTGGAGGCCACAAATGCACTTTTATCACAGAACAGAAGACAGCTGTCCCTTTCTACTCATTTGTATACACTTCCATGAAACTCCAGTGCCCCAATTGGCCAGACGGCCCATTAGGCCAAAGAAAGTGGGATCTGGCCCTGCTCCGTTTTAATTACACAAAGAGTCTAAACGAAGCGACTACAGAACAGAGGTATGACAGAACTCCATGCCTCATAGCAGGTAACAGCTGCAGGAATGCCAGAGGGAAGTTCTGGCTCTATTTTTGTCCTCGAATATAAGCCAGTTAAAACATCCCTCACCAAAACAAGCTTCCAGCCAAAGGAACCAAGGAAGGGCTGCAGTGAGTAGACGAAACATTAGGAGCAGGTGAGACGCACAAAGTTATTTCTCACATGTAAAACACCAAGTAGCAGCCCAATCCTTCCTAAAGGTCTTGGAAGTACTTACTTGTACAGTTGGATCTGCCAGTCCTAGTAGGACCCTCTGGGCATTCTTAGGGCCCAAGAAGCGGTTGACAAGTGAGGCCCATCCCAGGGAAAAGCGGAATGCGATATCTTCTTGAAAATCTGCGCACAGACTATGACAGTTCAAGTCGTAGCTGAGGTCAAACTTCCTGCATGGAATTAGCAAGTGGAGCTGATTCTGAACACCAGAAGGCAACAGCGGCTTCACATTTTCTAGGAACAAAGTGCAACAAAGCTGAACTCCATTCAAAACTTTACTCTGCCTTGGCAGGTTCACACCTGGCACTGATTCTGAATGTGGCCCTTTGAGTGTCAAACACTGAAGATGAAATCATGCCTACAGTTGACTTATTACTGACTACCATTGCAGCCTAGAGTCAAAAGCATACATAATCATGCATCAGCATAAAACACTGCTGATCCTAATGGACTAGATCACAGTCAACTTTCCTGGAAAATAAAAGATCTTGGGCAGGTTGCAGGGACATACAGAAGAGGCAAGAGGGCAAGGGCTTCACTTAAATCCAAGACCTCTGTCTGTTTTCTTACCTGAAGTCAGTTCAGGGGAAAGGGAGGCGGGTTTAGCACTGGGGGTTGTGACCACCACCACCGTTAAGTCAGAAATGGAACAAATATTCATTGAGAACAGGCAGCTATTTGGAGAAGGGCAACTGAGTAAAACTAGCCAGGGTACGCAGGGATAAAAAACCCCCCAAAAAACAAGCAGTATATCCAGAATAAGTTGGGAAGCCTCACATCCTACTCTCAGCTTCACACCAACTTGGTGTGTGATGAAAAACACTCAACCTCTCCACTTCAGTTTTTCCAAGTGGGAATAATTATTACTTCAACCTGCTTCATAGGGAATTTATGGGGATTAATTGCTGCTCAGCACTTTGAAGCCATAAAGCACTGCAAGAATTATAACCCTGTAAATTCCAGCCATAGTATGCAATAATCCTGGTGGGAGACCAGAAGTAATAGCACAAATTTACTAATGAAAACGGTTCCAAACAGGAACTAACTCTTGATTATCCATTACAGGTAGAGGGCCTGGCACATGCAGCCCTCATCTCAGACTGTGGTACTTAGTGCTACTGCTTTATAATTCATCTTAAGTAGGGAAAGCCCTCTTAGGGGAGAGTGGGAGACTTTCAAATTTAAATGCTTGGGAAAAAAAAGTAACATTCCTCTGTCTCCAAATTACCAATCATCTCCTGCTGGGACAGATGCATTGATTCATTGACTTCACTGGAGCAGCGGTCAGCCAGGTTTTTCCCCAAACCTTCCTCTATATGTTTGTTGAGTTCCTACCATTTTGCAGAGAAAACAGGCATGTAAATTAAAGGTCAGTTGACCTGAGCTAAATGCAAGAAATCCTTATCTTTATAATGTATTGTTATCTGTGGTAGGCAGAAAAACATCACGTTTGGGAACGACCAGGCTCTCAGTTTATAACCATAATTTATCTTTTGACTGAAATTACAAAAGGGTTGCTTTCTGTAACATAGGAATCATTACAATTGTGGGTTTTCAATAAATCAGTTTAATCAGAGTATAATGCTGTCATATTGTTCTACAAAGCCCTGTTTGACAGGGACCAAGCTCATTAACACTGATAGACTGCAGCCATGGTGATGGCACAGTCTTCAAGTCCTTTAAGTTGTAGGGGTCTGGTTCTGCTCCTGCACACATGGGTCCTATAAATGCAAGGTCCCAGCCATGATTAAAGTGAAGAACTGATGAAGTTTAATCAAAAAGTGACCTTTTAGAAAGTAGCCCCCTCCTCCCCCTCCAAATGCCACTGACTCCAAAGTATTTTACATGTTGCTGTTCTGGTGACTTTGACATTTTTATCAAAAGCACTCTCAGCATGGCTAGTAAGTTCTTTATGGACCACAAATGGGTACACAAGGAAGAAACAAACCTGGTTTTCAGTAAATAAAACGTTCATTTGAAGACATCACAAAACCCTGAAATTCCCACCCAAAGTCTTTACTTTGGAACCAATTATTTTTTTTGTAACTGGCTGTCATTATATTCTAATTCAGTAATAGAAAAAAAACCCACAGACCCAACAGATAGCAGAAGTTCTACACAGTGTAGGAATTATAACAATTAACTAACTAAAACTTGAATGTGCGACTACAGCAGTGATAAAGTTTTCCTTCATCAAACCACTTGGAAACAACTTACGCTTTTATACAGCTGCAGTACTTGCGGAGAAGGGTGAAAATCAGCACAGAATTCATCAACCAAAACAGAGAGGCGACAAATCTCATCAGTCATAGCAGAAGAGACCTGGGAAAATTATAATGTAGACAACAATAAAAAAATATATTTCAATTAAAAATTACATTATACTAACTGCAACACTGTTTTTAAACTGAGTTCATGTGTTTTTGCTCATTATACTGCTTAACCAAAAACGCGCAGTTTAAAAGCCCACTCTAATATAATAAAGAGTAGGTCTTCTGTAGGTGGCCTCTAATGGAAAAACCCTGCTTAGACCTTGTTTTTCCACACATCTCCACAAAAAGATTCCAAGAATAAATTAAAGGGGAGGCCTAGCCCTTACTGCTAAATTCCTCGAGATACTTTCTGAGCATGTGCGACAGCAGTGGGATCACGTGATCCATGCATATGAGAACATTTTTGAACAGCAGCATCTGTTGAGAACACACCTGCACTCTCCGTGCTTGTGTGTGTGTCGGTGGCTGCTGGGCCAAGAGCAGAGCAGTCAAAACATCTCTACAATCTCCTTTGGATCCATGGGAACCAGCTGATACAGGACTCTATACTCTATAGTATCAGCAAAGGATGCTGGGCATTTAATACATTTGGATAATACATGGCAGAGAACCAGTTAGTTTGGGGTAAGTAGCCATTCTTTTTTTCCTCTGAGTGACTGTCCACCATGAAACATTTTGAAGTCCAGGAGGTGAGCAGGTCGCATACTTACAGATGCAATGACCATAAATCTGGAGCAGTCTGTCCAAGAGTGTGTTGATTAGGGAGCAGCAGTGGCTAAAGATGTGGTCCTAACTCCAAGTAGCTGCTCCATAAAGTCTTCAAGGCTGCAATACTGTTCAGTGAAGCTGAAAAAACTACCTGACTCCTGGTGAATGGGACTGATCTGTGCAAGCTGGTCCAAGCGAGCAGCTGGATAGCAAGTTCTAATGAACTCCAGAATCACTTTAGATAGTGTCTGTACTGTCACAAGCGGACTTGCGTGTCAGGAAAGGCCAGAAACAGCCTAAGGGAGGTTCTGAAGCTTGTGCTCATGCCAAATAGCAAGTAAGAGTCCTGAGGTGCAGAGTTCAGCATCTCTACGAATGAGGGAAAAGACTGGTAAGATCCTTTTGAGTGAAATTCAGAGAACTTTAGGCCTAAGGTCACTTGTGCGTAATGGCTCTGCCATGAAGACTTGGATCTTTCTGGCAGCGATTGGTTGCTAACAAGGTGGGCAGACTATAGGGGAGCACTTGTTTTTTCCCCAAGTGCCCTGATGTCCTCAACTCTTGAGCATATGCTTATGGGAGTCTGGTTTGCACAATAGTTAATACATTCAATGTCTGGGCAACGTTTCCCCACTTCTCTCAGATACAGAAGAAGGGAAAGATGCCATCCACAAGTGAAGCCATTGTTTTGCAAGTTCTGAACAGCACCAAAGCATGTTGGAGCAGCACTGAGGTTTCAGATGCTGAAGTGAGATCAGTCTCCAATTGTTTCTTCCACATGCAGAATTGTGGAAGAGAGAGTGAGTAGCAAGGTGGCCAAATCTACAGACAATACAAAAATATTTGAAGTGGGAAAGACCAAGGCAGACTGAGGGAAGGATCTGGCACCACTGAACAAACAGCAACTAAAAATATAAAGTGATGCACCTAGGCAACAATAACCCAAAATGTACCCACACTACGATAGGCCTACGTTAGCTGTTACCACACAGGAGAGATTTGGGAGTCACTGTGGACAGTTTGCTAAAAATATCAGCTCAGTCAGCAGCCATCAAAAAGGCAAACAAAATGTTGCAGATTATTAAGAGGGGAGCTGGAAACAAAATAGAAAGTATCACCGTGTCCTTTTATGAATCCATGGTGCATCCATACCTTGAACACTGTAAATGGTTCTGGTCCCCACACCTCAAAGAAGATAAAGAACTACAGAAGGTCCAGAGAAGGACAAGGATGATTAGTGGTACGGAGGGGCTTCCATATGACAAGAGACTAAGAAGGCCAGGCCTATTCAGTCAGAGTACAGCACCCTGGATGCCATGAGATCCTTTTAACAGTGCTAATACTGCAAGGCCTGCTTAAGTGTGCACACCTATGCAATTCACAAAATTAAAATGGCTAAACTTAAGAGATTTCTACCAGAAACCAAAGTGCCTAAACTATTCTGACCTGTTTTGGTCTTGCTGAGTTCTCTGTAACAGAAAACTTGTTCTGCTATTTTTCCATAGCCAAAAAAAACAAGTGAAAGCTAACGGCTGGCATTTCTAAGGGGTGCCTTAGGTCTAAAAAGGTTGAGAACTACCAGCCTAAGCCAGTAAGATTAACACCACATTTCTGTAGAGTTCAGAACTGTTTAGAAATGGGGTCTTGTTACAATAAAAGCTGAGGGTTAGTCGTGAAGTTCAGATTTGGAACCAATCCAAGATTGAGAGGCAGAGTTTGTTGCCAGCCCCATTTCTAATGTTCACAAGGAAGTGATCTTTAAAGGATCCGGTGCTCAATGTCTGAATATTTTATAGATAAAATGGAAAAAACAGATTTAGATGAATTGCCAGGTTTTTAGTTGCTCAACATACACAGCTCTTACTGACTGCTCTGGAGTTACAGATGCTCAGTATTGCTGAAAAACGTCATGAGAGTAGTACTCTGCCTTCCTGGCATTACTATTATATTAGTGATATCAGAAAATCCCTGGTGTACATGCAGCTCTGTCAGCAGAAGAATGCTGAAAGCAAAACTCCAGACGTTCAGGGGAGCTGGTCTATAGGAAAAACGGACAGAGCTTGTCTAAAACAGGGGGCTTTGCCATTGTAGCTCTGGCAGCAGCAGTCCTCACGCAATCTGACAGCACACTATGATTTCTTGTTTGTGTGCTGTGGGCATAGGAGACTAGCAGTATAGGGAGAAGAGCATGAACCTCCAAGACTCTAATAGGTGAACCACAAATGTGTAGATGAAAAATGTTCTCATTTTCCAAGAATTTAAGGCATTCCAAAGTTTGCTTCTAAACAAATGTACCTCTTTTATACAACTCACCTTGCTCTCCACATCCTCGGTCACATGCTTTATTTTCCTCTTAATATCTTCTGTTAAAAGTTTCAGCTGATTTTGAACAAAGTCCAATCTATCTTTCTGGTCCTCTCGCTCTTCCATTGAATAGACTCTGAAGTAGCCAAAGGAAATCATTATCATTGCTACCAGTTCTTCCATAAACACAGTACAAAGAAGTGGTAGCTGACAGTTAACTGAAGAGGTCAGTCAGTCAGAAATAAATCTGAAGTTAGGTTGGTTGACAAAGCTACCATGAACAGAAGCAAATGTTCTACCTCACTAAACAACAGCGTAAGAGCTATACATTCAAAAAAAACCCAACCCACAGAAAAAATATAACTCGTTATTCAGCTTTTGATGTGCATTCTACAAGGGGGGCATCTGAATTGGAGTGCCCATTGTGACATTTTGAATTAAGTACTAAAAAGACACAGAAATGGGGTTGAAGGAATCTTTTTTGTGAAGTTGGACCTGAACTAGTCCTTACCACTTGGTAAAGACAATTCCTCTGGCCAAACTGCTCACTGGCACCACTTGATTACTCCTTAACAATGACCTGGCATTTCTCATCCTGGAGGCTAAAAAAGTAAATGCACCCAACTCTGACCACAGATGACTCAGGACTAGACCAGGATCTGTCAGCCTATGGCCCACGGGCCAGATCCAGCCCATGGTGGATCCAGCACAGGCATTTGGATCCTGTGTGTGGACATGATGATTTGGAGGTACTTGATGTGGGGGGCCTTTCAGCAAGACTCTCTCCCATGTTGCCACTGGGAAAAACAGCAACAGTGAGTAGGCCCTAGTGTGCAGGGCAACCTGGTTTGGCTCCACTTTAAGCCTAATCATGTATGACAGGCTGAGAGAGGGTCCAACACATGAATTCTGGGTCTGGCAAACATCAGCAAATGGGGCCCCACATAGTTCAACCAGAATCCCTCTGGCGGCACCTCTCTCAGCCTGTCATACAATTAGTGTGGCCCTGGCCTCCATGAGGTGGGCCACACCAGGTTGCCCTGCACCTCATTTGCATATTAATTTTTGAAGGATCCTAGGACTAATGACAAGAACACCCAGTTCCAGTCATGAGTGGGGGATGTAGATCCTTTTTTGGCAGGGGGTGGGGTGGTAATCTGGAACACCTACCCATCCACCTCCGAGCAGTGTTAAGCTGTCTGGTCACCATGGCCTGAAATACTGTCGACTCTGCTGAGGCCCAGCTCAATGAACTACATAATAAATTGTGAGCCTTTTGGCTCTGGACTAATATCATGCACAGTTTATACTGTATGTAAGTAGGTACAAGAATGCTGCTTAAAAGCATGTTTATGGAGTACCTAAGCTTAGACTTGTAACAGTTTCAAAAAAGATTTTTATTTATTTAGAGAATGCAAATCCACAAAGCCAAGCAATAGATAACATGCATCAATTCTAGATGAACTAAATCTAGGGGTACTATATGCAAATTACTCTGGCTATTTTTAATTTCAAGGTCAGTGTTTTCAAACTTGCTTCTTACCTCCATGTGCTCAGGAGGAAAAGGGTTTTACAGTAAGGAGCAGGGGCTTGACAGAGGAAGCAGCTGGGGGGGAGGTAGAGGGCAAGGTGGCTAGCTGACCCCCCAGATTTATTTTCCCTCCTGTAGCAGTGGGAGGAGGATGAATTTAAGGCAGATATCCAATAATTCGATTCTACACCTAGAAAATTTTAAACAAATATATTCATTTTCCATTTAAAGAATCTAATGGTAGAGGGGACTTATCTTATAAACCAGGGCATTTGAGTAAATCACAGAATCATAGAAAGTTTGGGTTGGAGGGGACCTGAGGAGGTTACAACTAATCCAACCCTCTTCTCAAAGCAGGGCCACCCTCCACTAGATCATTCCAGCCAGGGCTTTGTCAAGCTGGGCCATAAAAGCCTCCAAGCATGGAGATTCCACCTTCCTAGTGAGAAAGTTTTTTCCTAATATCCAACCTAAACTTCCCTGGCTGCAACTTGAGACTGTTGTTCCTTGTTCTGTCACCTGCCACCACTGAGAACAGTTTAGCTCCATCTTCTTGGAAACCACCCTCCAGGTAGTTAAAGGCTTCTATCAAAGCCCACCCTACCCAGTCTTCTCTTCTGCAGACTAAATACGGTATTAGAGAGTCAAATAGGGGCTTGGAGAGAGCAGGGACAGACTACAAGCTGACACAGCAGAAGCCAAGGTTGAATTGCTCTTCCCATCCCAACTCCCAGGTCCATAAGGATCTTGAACACACCATGCACACTCCCCGTAATTCACCTTCTTCTGTTTACAGTTAGTTATGGAGTGGGCCCACACAACACTAAGATGGTGTTTACAACAAGAACAAAAAAGTCCTTAGAATTTAAAATGGATTCTCAACTAGCAGGCTCCAGGGACCCATTGGCTGCCTTCACAATCTGTTAAAGGCAAAAAAAAAAAAAAAAAATCACAAACCAAACAATGGACTCCACAAAGAAGCCATCTCTCTTTATACAGGACAAAGATAGGGGGGAAATGGTGCAAGTGAGCAGTATTTAGATTGAAGAGCCAGATAAATTATCCATTTACTTCACAGCATTACGAATAAGTGACCTTTAAAAGTCTACACTAGCATAGGGAAGTAAGTCCTGTAGAAATAGCTACGTAAATTGGATAAACCCAAGCAAAAGACAGACTCCTACCTTTTCTCTGCTGCTGCCACATTTATGGAATCCATAATGTCTTTCACAGTGTCTATTATCTGTTTAGCTCTGATAGTGTGCTGTTCAAACTTGGTTTTCACTGCTGACTGCGAGATACACTCCTGCGAGGACCCAAGCCACAACACATTACTGCAATTCCGTGTCAGTGCTCTCAGGAATTTCCGTGTCAGAAAGCACTTGCTGCTATCATTAGAAACTTAAAACCAAAGGAAAATGAAGAGGAAGGAAAGACGATACAAAAACCAACACACGCAACAAAAAATTCAAATACATGTATAGCAGCAAGACTGAATCTTCATGTCTGTCCACAGTAATGTGCAATGCTTTTATAAATTAACACCACAAAAGGAAAACCATAAAAGCAAAGTGTGAAGAATGAAAATAAATATGTTCTTAAATTGGCTGATACTGCTGTTATCAATGTTAAGCACTGATTCCTAATGACTTATCTGGCTTGTGATTTCTTTTATTTTACCACATTAACTTTTCTGATCACTTGAGGGAGCAGTTTTTACCACAGTGAGATTATGTACCTTTGCACACTTTTATGCTGATACAACATGCCCAGGGGTCAAATATGTGACTAGGTGCATTATGCAGAAGAGTCATAAGGAATAAGTATTACCTTACAAGAGAGATGGCCAACCTGCAGCAGGTGCACCACAAGTGGCATGGACAGCATCTGTGCGTGGCACTTGACAGACCAGGGAGGGAACAGCCAGCACAGTGGCAGATACAGTACTAAGATGAAAGCAGTGCAGCAGGTCACTAGGAAGCACAGGGGAGGGAACAGAAAGCAGAGCAGCAGATTGGGCAGGTGAAGGGAATCAGAGTATCACTTGGGGAAATGATGGGGCTAATCCATGGCATGGCTGCCAAAAAGGTTGGCCCCCACTGCTTTACAGGATGCCTATTTACAAGGCAAATAGTCTTTAAATTAATTTCCCCCATGCAGATCATATAAATCTTAAATCTAATCATGCTGGATAGTTAGAAAGAATATAATGATACTATCTTCAATATCTGACACCTGACTGGTGCATACAGCAGCGTAAAAATTACTGAAATGCAAATCAAAAGGAAAGGCTAATGGCCAGTTTGGGCCAACAGAATTTATGGATGCAAGTGAGAGGTTGAAATTAAGCAATTTTAAACAATCTTCTCTCTACTTAACTAAATGCACTGCCCTAAGACCCTACATTTATGTTTGAGGAACAGGAATAAGAATGAATGCTGGTAGTCTCCCTTTTATGGCATACAGGTCATTTTAGATCAAGGGGAGATTTTCTAAGACACAAAAGACAATTTTCAAAATGCCTTTGGAAAAAAATCTTCCCCTATGACACTGATCACCCTCCAAGAACTGTTTGAAACAAGATGTAAACAAAAGATCAAAAGAAAGAAAATGGAATGGGTGCAAGGGTCACTGTTCCTCGATGAAGCAGATCTAGAACTCAGCAATGAAAAGCCAGAGGTTCATAAACATCAGCACGTTGTTAGAGCTAGACTAGACATATAGGAAAGATGGCAGTCTTTCAAACATTAGTCGGCAGTAGATAAAGGGATTACATTCGCTCACTAAACAATCAGAAAATCCACAGTTAAAGCACTAGGAAAAAACACAAAGGTTAGTTATATGGCTGGAAAAGATGAGAGAGAGAAACAAGTTTGCCTTTAGAGTTTAAAAATAAACTCATTTATCAAACTGAAGATAAAAAAAGCTGTTATGCTTCACTACTGTAACTGGGAACAGTCACCACCACCGACCTTCTAGCATTGTAGGCTAATTTCCTATAAGTCCACAGCTTAATACATTTTCTGGGTAGGTTGTCAAAAAGGCACTGTGCTAATTAAGTATGTGATTGTGTTTTAGTTATTAGCTCCTCTTCCACCAGTGATAACTTGTCAAACAGTAACCCCAGTATAAAGCTTGTCTGTTTAAAAGCACATTACATTGAGGGTTACTGCCTACAGCCCCATGTGCTGATCCTCCATCATGTCAAAGTTATTGTTTTAATGAGTGCCTTTGATATTTCTCCCAGTTTTAAATGGATTACAAATACATTATCTTTTCCATGTGCCTTGAGAATGAAGATAAAAATTACAGATCTATAATTAGTCCACTGAGTTGACCTGAAGGCTCTACAGACGAAAAGCTGTCAACTATTGTTTTTCTTGTATATATAAGTCAGGTAAGGAGTGGGGGTGTTGTGGGTCAGGTGGTCTGGGACTAGAAACTGATGTGCAAAAATGCAAGGGGTGAGAAGTAGAAATAGGGGAGACTGGGATAAGCTAGGCAAACAGGGACAGGGAAGAGAAGTGGAGACTAGACTGGCTAAGTGAAGAGAATGGAACTGAGCTAGGGGTGAGAAAAACAGGACTGGGACAGGCTGGAAGGGACAAGGCAGAAGGCATTAAGGGTAGTGATATAAGGCAGAGGAGTCTATGCCCATGACAGCACATTCCCCTCCAGAGCCTACACTGGAAACCAAGATTTCCAAGTCTCATGTTTCCTCTGCTGCCAGCAAATATCTATGAAACCCACTGTTCCAGTCTATTCTATACAAGCTTTCATACTGTGCTCTTCTCCAGAGTATCCAAGTGCCTTCCAGCAGCATATTATGCAACACGACTATATAGCTATTACATGCTAGTTCTTCCATCTTTCCCCAGGCTGATGCACAAGCAGTAAATTGTCTTGTTTTGGCAGGATTTGCACATGCCCACTTCTGCATTCACAGTAGAGAAGGCTAGGTCAACAAAACGCATCTTGCACTTGCAAAGTAACTGGTAAAGTTTGTGATCATCTCCAAGGATAGTACTAGAGGAGAATGAGACATACAGGCATAATGGACTCGTCTACTGGAAGACTATTGGTCAGAATTTTTTCAGACTAGTCCAAGGCTACACATACTTTTTGGTCCTGCAACGTGCTGGAGATCCACCGCTTCTGAGCAGACACAATTAATCGAGTCTGTTCCGCACGCAAGCTGATGTGCACCGCGCTGCTTCATGTGCAGTTGTATAAGCAGTGAAATACACATCAGCATGCAGAAAATGGCATCAGTGTGCTTTTGAACTACAGAATCTTCTACGTGTTGTAGTTCAAAAGCACACCGCCACCATTTGCTCAGTATAGATGTACATTTCGCCGCTTACACAACTGTAAACATTGCAGCACTGGGAGCTTTTCAAAGCCCCCAATGCTACAGCACTTGCATGTGTAAAAATGCCCATGCTCTTCAGTTAATGCTCATTAAGACAAGTTAATGCACATTTTCCTAGTACCTCACAATGGAGGTGCTAGATTTAATGTATATTAACTAAAGTGCCTCAATGCACATGTAGATGCACCTAGAGTAACACTGTAGGGAGTGGCAGACCAAAGTTTTCAAACATTAATGACCCATGTAGGTATCAATATACCACCACACAACAGAATTTGTTTTCTGCTTTTGTTAATATCCTAGGAAATTACACGCAAATATATATTAAAGAACATTATTAAAGTTGCAAAGTCAAAAACCCAAAAGCTAGGGGCAAGTGGCAAAATGGATGTCAGTGCTGAGAAAATGTCAGTGGCACGCTTTTGAACTAAAACACGTCCAGGGTAGTTTAGTTCAAAAGTGCACTGCTACCATTTTCTACAAGCTGACGCACATTTTGCCACTTACCTAATGGCACACGGAGCAGTGCATTGTGCATCAGCTTGCATGCAGCGCAGACTTGATTAATCAAATATGCTCAGAAGCACTGTATCCCCGGCACACTGCCGAAGGAAAAAGTACGTGTATAAATGCCCAAAGTTTCTTATGCAACTGTAATTTGCTCCCCTGATGCTTACGCATTAAAATAGAAGTTTTAAATCACATAATCATATACTTTTCCCTGCACGACCCCTCCCTCATTCATGGCATAGGATGGACCACAATGATACAGTTGTGTAATGAAAGAAGGTGTTATTGTGCAGGACTCTTATCTCACCAGCTGCAGAACCGGGACTGAGTACAGAGATTGAGGCATGGGATTTGCAGGAAGGATGATTAGTAGGGGTGTGCAAAGTGGGCCCTATTCGATTTGGATTCGGCCCAAATCAGGGACAGCGATTTGATTCATTGATTTGGATCACTGTCCCTGATTTGATTCGGCCAAATCGGAATCTGAAGACTCGATGCTGATTTGGAGAATCAGTTATTTGGACACAGACACAGCTTTAAATGTTTTTTCTACGTACCTCGAGGTACCAGCGCAGCTTGTGAATGGTGTGATGCTGGGGTGGATGGAGCATTCTACAGGAGTGGAGGGGGGTCCCTCCATGTGCTTGGCAGCGAACCCAGAAGTGGACCAGAAGTACTTTCAGTCCACTTCTGGGTCCACCAGGGAGCGAGCTGGACGACCCCCCGCTGCACCCGCCGGCTCTGCAATCAGCCACGGGGGAACCCTGGGTGGTCCCCTCAGACCCAGAAGGCACCACTCGCCAAGCCGGGGAGCCGCAGGGAGGGCCCCTCTGCACGCTCCATGGCGGACCCGGAAGTGGACTGGAAGTGCTTCTGGTCGACTTCCAGGTCTGCTGCTGAGGCACTGGGGAGCCCCCCCTGTGCTTCTGTAGGACACTCCATGCACCCCAACATTGCAGCATTCACAAGCCCCCTGGTACCTTGGAGGTATGTAGAAAAACCATTTAAAGCTGTGTCTATGTCCAAATCGCCAAACTTTTCCAAATCGATTTGGAGGGTTCTGATTTGATTCAGAGAGATAAAAGGGTCTCCCAATTCAATTTGGAGATTTGGCCACTGAATCGGGCCGAACCTCCACTGAATTGAATCAAGGACTGAAGCTCTGCACAGCCCTAATGATTATGGCAGTAAAAGATTCTCTCAGTCTTTGCCACAAGATTTCTGAGGTGTTAGACAGGTCACTTAAAGCTTTCTGCATTAGTTTCGTCTCAGTGCAGAAGTACTGTATATTCTCAACTTCAACTAAAGTTAAGAGCTGCCTTTTGAGCACAGGAACACCAAGAACCAACTTCAATCCTCATTACCATTTCCTTTACTTTGGAACTGTATATTTAACATAATTTTTCTTCAGTGAATTTACTAAGATTTTTAAAGGCTCTTCAGTGACCAGGGGCCTAAGTCCTAGCAGCTTGGAGAATTTTGCTAATTTTTTATGACTACAATATGCTCATAAGTGAAAATTACAAACCACAAAAAATACAAATTTGATTGCAACTTGTTTTAACAGGACAGAAGTAAAAAGAAATCTGAGCCCATACTTTGTTCCTAGGGCTCTCCAGTGAGCCAGGCACTGAAACATTTACAGTACAATCTGCCATTGTTCCAGATACTCAGCCATCTAACACACACAGGGAGTTAAGGATCAAATATAAGCCTCAGCCTACCATTTCTTTATTTTTTACTGAATTAAGTCTAACTCTCACGTTAGCATAGTTCTATATTCCTCACACTATTCGTTATGAAGCGTGAAAGGAGGTTCAGAATATTTGCCTGATCTAAACAAACAGTCATATCATTCTAGGCTTGTGATCTTAGTGAGATAGCAAAGAGCCAATCTGTACCCTATAAATAAGGAGCAATTTCTGAAATAATCAGTTAAAAATCATTATGAATGCCATGCTAATATGAAAGCTGCCCAAATTCAGTGAGATAGGTAGATATTGCTACAGTGAATAAACCAATGGGCTATCTGATCCAGTACCGTTTCTGACAAAAACTCAGGATAAACTCTGAAACTGAACATGCCTAAACTGCTAATGTTTGCAGTAAATACAGTTCACCGGGGGGGAGGGGGGTTGGTCACTGGCACCAGCTGCAAGGGTTAAGCTAATCGCCTGCAGGATAGATTCGGCTTGGTATACAAGTCCAGGCCCTTCATTTAGGCTTTTGCTGCTCAGTGACTCACACCCTTGTTCCCAACCTAGAACTCTTGTGCCTTGTTCCTGCCTTGCCCATCCTGGACCCTAGTATTTGATTCCCACTTACTGTCATGTGTTCTGGACTCCTCAGCACCTGACCTCTGTCCAGGCCTAGATTATGAACATGTATATCACTAGGGCCCAGAACGTGACTTGTACTCTCTGGTTGCGAACCATTTGTGAAGTCTTGGGCCCTGATCCGGACTCCCCACAGGCACAGGTTCTTGTTTAACTCTGCATACCTTCAAAACATCTTATGCCCCAATCCTTACAAAAGGAATGGACATAGAAAAAAATAGAGTTTCGTTCTAAAACACTGAGTTCTTAGTTATCCTATACGCGTATTTTTAATTTCAAGATTACAAGATCTTAGTACTGTAATAACTGAATGTACCACTACTGGTGTCTTTATATGGTAGGTGGCATGATGTTAAGATGGTATAAATGAGTGGAGCTCAGTTTTGTAGCCCTCCTTATAAAGCAATACCTACTTCAATGCAAGCACGCGAGTATCTTACTTGATATGAGTAAGACTGAATGAGCAGAGCGCGAAAGTTAGCTCAAGACTGATACTGCACTTATGTATCACATGTTGTAGCCACTTCCCAAAGCAGCTTAAATGTACAATGTGTAATGTGCAATATGATTACCCTAAGAAGGGGGGAAAATGTCACTTTAGTCCCATGCAAGTTCAGTAACCACACAAGTTAGAAAAGCCATCGTATCTACCTCAAATATTTGCTCAAAATTCTGAAATTCCTGGAATCTTGTTTGAAACCCTTCAGCGAGTGCACCACCTGCAAAGCACAATGGAAATTAAGATGGACCGTAACGCCCACAGCCAATTACTGTTTTAAATTTTCTTCAGCCTTTTTTTTTTTTTTTTTTTTTTTTTTTTTTTTT